CAGACTTGCCCATTAGTTTTTGATGAACAGTGTCTCAGTAATTAAAATCAACTTTTGTTAATAACGTATTTTTTTGTAATTGAAAGTTTAAAATAATGGCAGTGTGCAATTTATGTATAATCAACAAGTGTGACTGTTTTGGGGCCTACCTCTAAAGATGTATGTCCTTTTTTAGTCTTGTTCAATTCTAATGGTCCAGAATTTACCAATACTGTACTTTTTTCACAGACCCTGTACTGCATCTTTTCATTTTGTGCTTCAGCATTTACATATTATCAGTGGACAGTGTCAGATGATTGCAAATTTGTTTCTATAGTGTCACATATATCGAAGGGACCGTTACCAAGATTCTGGAACAAGATAACTGCGTAATTGGTGTAATCTACAAAAAGAAAGGACAAGAACAGGAACAGGTATTTTTTTGATTTGTAGACTCCATGCAGTAACAGGAGATGGTGCTCTTTGATCACTCGTGCACTCTAGTGTGGACACACTGCCTACGTGCCTTGTTTGTGTGCATGTAATGCATGAAGTGCACCAGACTAATTTTCTTCAGAATGTGCACAAACCTGTGGCATATGCGCATAGGTACTAGGCTGACAGCTGCATTTGCATTTGATAGCAGGTGTAGAGGTCTGGTGCACTTTGTTGCTGTATATGGCCATATGGAGAAAATGGGAGCTGATACCGTTGAACGGTGCCACTGTTGGATCTTGTGGTGGCTGGCAACCGCAGACCATACTCCCAGGCTGTTTGGCCTTTAGGACTGTTGACGCTCTTTGATTTTGTTCCTGTGGGCAGGCACTCCTCTTTGATAAGTGATGATAAGACTGAAGTGTCTGGCAGGGTTTCCAGCCAGAATATCCTAGAGGGTTAGGATTAAGTTCCGAAAGATAATTTTGTTTATCTGATTACCTTTCAAGGAAATTTATGCACCTCTCACCGTTGTGGCCGATGGCTGCTTCTCCAAATTCCGCAAGAGTCTCATCACCACCAATGTTAAGACGACCTCCCACTTTGTGGGGACCATCATGAAGAACTGTCCTCAGATCAAAGACAACCACGCTGAGCTGGTCCTGGCAAACCCCTCGCCTGTCCTCATATACAGGATAGCTGAGAAAGACACAAGGGTGTTGGTAGACGTCAGGGGGACGATGCCAAAGGACATGAAGGGGTACATGAGCCAGAAGATACATCCTCAACTGCCAGGTACGATAAGCTTCCACCCTTGGAGGAACTTTCTGGATAAAAAAACAACCGTGGGCTTAGTTGATGGTTGAAGATGTAGGGAGAGGTAATTTTTATAACACATAGCCTGTATTGTATGACTTCAGATGAGAGTTACATTAAGCAGTTAGATAGTGGAAACTGCTTTATCACTCCTATATATAGGTTTAACAGCACAAATTTGCACAAATGCCAAGATTCAGTCTTGTGCATGTGTTTTCCATATGGAACACAAATATGCACAGCTTCAGAATATACAGTAGGTTGCTAGCGCAAAATGACACAGGGTCTTTTGTGCAGTTCTCTTCACTGCAGTTGGTTTACTGTACTGTTATGCACAAGAAACAATGAGGCACAGTTGTTGGATGGTACCAAAGTGCAATCTGATATTCCAGTGAGGGATAGTTCCTAGAAAGGGGTCAGATCTCAAAGCTGTTGAAGGTCTCAACATTGATGTGTTAAGAATTCCATAACCGATTACACTGACTTTCTTGTCTCGTTTCTGGTTTTGAAGAGCACATTAAAGAACCGTTCCTAGACTCCCTCCAGAACGACCGCATCCGGAGCATGCCCAGTAGCTTCCTGCCTCCCGCACCCATTGAAAAGCCTGGCGTGCTTCTCCTGGGCGATGCCATGAACATGAGACACCCCCTGACGGGAGGAGGAATGAGCGTTGCACTCAATGATGTCAGAATATGGAGGGAACTGCTCAAGGGGATACCAGACTTGGGTAAGCCCTCGGTCGAGACCTGCTTTCCATTTTAAGACCTAGAAGATAATGTCAATCAAATCTGTGTCCTTGGCAAAAATCAGTTCACTCTCATGTCACAAATAATATGTATAAGACTGGAACTTGTTTGGGCTATCTGTACTGTTTTGCCTTTGGCACACCCAAGGAGGTAAAGCCCCCTCCCCCCAAAAAAAACTTTCAAAATTTTTTTTGTTCTTTTAGGAAAACAAAGATAAGGTTTACAACTACGTTTTAAAATTTCTAACTGTGATATAGCTGTACATCCTAGTCCCTTTTGGTGCCTCGGGCGGGGGGGTTGAGCATCATGAGCTTGTTTGGGGAGGGGGTTGATTTCTGTCCGCGCGGCGACCCCAAATGACAAATCCTGGATGTCCCACTGTGTTTGCCGAAGTAGACCTTTCTTATGCTTAGCATATTTGCAGAGTAACTCCATCAAAACTGATGGCAGAAGATTCCACAGACATAAATGAAGATGTCTTGGCTTAAGAAGAATGATAGAACACTTTGGGGGAATGTTATCAGTGCAGTTGTGACTTTTAATGTCAAGCTGTCATTTCTTTGGGCTTTATTAATCAGTGATCTTTCCTTTTTCTTCTGCAGATGATCATGACAAGATCATCCAGTCGATGCGAACCTTTCACTGGCTCCGCAAAAACTCTCATTCTTTTGTAGTCAATGTCCTTGCTCAGGCCTTGTACGAGTTATTTGCTGCTACAGATCGTAAGTTATGAAAATCTAAAAGTAGAGATCCCTTGTTTTAATTTCTCAGTGATATGTATTGTTGAAGGCTTGTTTTTTTGTTGTGTATTGAGTAGTCTTCAGTTTTTGGCTCTTAGAATCATTGGCCCTGAAGCACATCTTGCCTTACTTTAAAACTGGATGTCATAATGAGACTGTCGATGAAATTTCCTGAATATCGTTACTTCAGAAATTCCAAGTTCTTGGAGTTATGCCCTTTTCCATGCATAAATTTTGTAGATGGCTGGGAAGCCTGATTTGAGTGTGGTTTTTGGGCCCTTCTTATTGTGTGTATGTACATAAAGGTTTTTGAATCTGTAGTAATGTGTAGGGCTAAACTAAAGCCTTGCTTATGCTGTTTTTAGTTCATGTTTCTTTTGTTTCATGTAAAACTTTCAGGTCACCTTATGCAGCTCCGAAGGGCCTGTTTTCACTACTTCAAACTTGGTGGTCAGGCTGTCTCAGGACCAGTTGGCCTCTTGTCTGTGTAAGTCCAAAGATTTTCAGTTAATCATAATCCCAAATTTTCAAGTCTCTGTTTGGGGATGCTCAAAGTATTTTGAGAGGGCTCCGTTTGCAAACTTAAGGAGGCAACAGTTTCCATATTGTTGCTCCTCCAATGCTTAATTTCTTGTAATTTGAAGGTTTTAATAACCATGTACAGTTTTTGTTTTTCAAAGGACCCTTGAAATAGAATCTCTTAAAGATTTTGATCACCCTTTCTCATGTAATATTAGTAACTGTCGTGTACTGCTTCTTTTATTAAATAGTTCTCTTACTAATTTGAGAGTACACAGGGCAGTCTTCAAGTGATCAGTTCCATCTTCTCCTTGTCCTCAGGCTACAGCCCAGACCTTTCGTTCTCATTGGCCACTTCTTTGCCGTGGCTCTGTACGCCATCTACTTTGCCTTCAAGTCACAGTCTTGGCTGACCAAACCGTTTGCCCTCGTAGAGAGTGTGTGGATTTTTGCTAAAGCCTGCATGGTGCTGTTCCCGTTGATCCGCTCCGAGATGCACTCCATAAAGTGAATATGGAAAGGCAAATATTTTTAATGTTGCTTTACCACTGAAACATTTTGTTCCAACATAGAAAGGCAAAGATGAAATTCTCGGACCAGTAACTTTGTAAACAGTGTGCTGTTAGAAGACTCTTGAATATTTAGTGCAGGCAATTTTCTTGAAAACAGCAGGGCAGTTAAATACCAAAGATATATAATATTCAGATTGGAAATCTTTCAGTAAACGGTGTCGGATTAAACCTCAGAGAATCTATTTCAGGGCACCATATTCATCATGTTAATTTTACGCCTCATACATTCTTGTAAAAGTTTTGATTGGGGTAAGTTGGTGATTTATTTGCGTATTTTAAATTGTCTTCAACAAGTGTGCCCAAATCGAAGGCATTTGTCATTACTGTTGTGGTATTTTTTATCAGATGTATGTTCCATGGGAAGCAACATGAACCCTTTCCATGTGTAAAATGCTGCCTGAAAATTGATGGAGTATCACTGAATGATAACTGCACAGGTGCACAGTTTGATTGGTGGTAGAGTACCAAAATTAATTTGTGTCTGCACTGAGGACCTACCTTTAAAAGTTACTTTATCTCATGGTGTGTGCTTTCTTTCCACTGTAAAAAATTCCGGGTTAGTGACTTTGTCCACTGTGGCTAAGTAATTGATCAGTACCTAGCAACTGAGATGGAACTACTGTATTTTTAGGTTGCCACAACAGAGATCCTTTCACACCTGTTAAGTTACTCCAGCCACAAGGATTGTGTTTCTTTAAAGAGAAATATTGTCTCCATATTGTGCAAATAGACTTGAAATATAAATGTAATCCTGTAAACTGTGTCTAAAGTGTGATTTCAAAATATGATTTTACAATGTGATACTTGGCCAGTGATTTCATTATCCTGTGAGGTAAAAAATATCGAACATGAAAATTCTTCTCAAGGACACTGTAATGATGTTATGGCATGTGTCTTTATTTAGCATGATTCAATTTCTTTGCACTATGTAACTTTATGGAATATATAAGATACACATTTTAAATAAAGTGTGGAACATTTACATAATGCAGTAAAATAGAAATTCTTTGCTTGTTGTGCGGTGTGAAAGTGTACAGTTTCATGATAATCTGAGGAAATTAATAGAAAAAAAAAATACAACTTGAAAATTAATAGAAGTTTAAACTAGTGATTTTTGAAATGAAAGCTTGGCGCCATCCAGTATTTGGCAGTGCCATGACCTGTTGTGACCTCAAACATCGAGAAGACAAATTAGGAAGAAACCAGTCGTAAGTACCCATGCCCACTTCCCCAGCCCCCCGCCCTTTCTTGAAAAGTCCTGTTAAAATGTACGACATTAATGTTGCATGCTTTTGACAAAAATAACAAAACAATCCACTGCTCATTGGAAAAATCACAATGTGACCATGAATGCATGTAGAACCTTTTTATAGATTTCCCTACATACAATGTCACTGCAACTTCTTTTGTTGCCATACCAACAAAATGTCTATGATGACGCATCGCGTTAACCACTGATGTTAAGATAACTTCTCAGGCGAGTTTTGCAACGGTACATGATGGGGGCTTGTCATGCTTTGCCATGTATGAAACGTTCTTTCTTTTGTTGCCAACGCAACATCGTGTCTATGATAATCATGGCAATCGATGGTACTGTGATAACATCTTAGACATGTAGGGACCATCCAGCTCATAACCAAGCTTGCGGTAGTAATTCCGTGTTCCAACACCTTGAGAGCAAACCAAGAGACGATACAGAAAATGAACAAACTTTATATTTGATTTTGTGCTGCAGCTAAGTGGCGACAACAAAAGTTTTGAGATGCTGACCAAGAGGTCGTGTCTTTGGCCTGCTATAAACCAGTTATTGAAGTGAACCCCGTCATTGATTCTGCAGCTTATGTCCTTGAGCAGTGCTATGTACAACTGCCTCTCGCCACCAAAAACTAGCGGGGAAACGTGTCAGTCAGGCAGCAAATAGCAAAATGTGGACAGTTTCAGCAACTTTTAAGCATCCCTCAGAACAATGTTTTTGTTACCCACTGTACACTCGGCCACTGTGCTCCTCAACATCAGGTAAGAAGATTGGTGTTTTCCTCCTTTTCCCTAGACTAATTTTAATTGAGGTACCCATCGAAATGCACTAAACGGTTGTGAAGCGAGTGGTACAATACCTTCACTTTACTGAACTCTTGCAGAGCTATCAAGACCACTGATTTTTTTGGCCTAAAGATTTCTTTCATGTACTGTTCCTTGTCTCACCTGAGATGACAGCAATCTTAGATGCTCCATGCTCCTCCAAGGCAATTCTCTCTGCCTCCTCCATCAGTAAAGTCCCAAAACCCTGATGCTGGAACTTACTCGGATCTCTGGAACTGACAGGAACCACACTGCCATACCTGTCACAGATTTACAAGTTAAGGTATAAACATCCCAAATCTGACAAAGTAAGTCCTAAAACATGTTTTCTTTTGCATGTTTTTATATGCATAAGTAAGAGCCTTAGATCTTTATTTTGATGTGTCAGCCAGTTTGACATTCTTATGAATATGAACATTAAGCAGATGAAAATGCTAGCTGCTCCAGAATTTTCAATGCTCCTCAAACGTGCAAGATCTGATTTAGAGGCTGCAAGTTGGAAGTAGCTCTGGTGATTTCATACTCGTCCAGCTGGTGTGGGTCTAAAGTCATCCTGTGAAGTTCAGGAGGCAGAACCTCTACAGTTGGACAGTGAACATAAGAATTTAAACAGCTACCAAACATCCTCTGTTACATCATTTCTGTCAGAAAATCTTTTGGCAAAGGATACACGTGAAGCTCTCGCACGATGGAGACACCCCCCTTCGTCTCAGGTCTGAACGTCTGGTCGGAGCACTTTCTCAGCCTCAGCAGGCCGATCAGAATGTCCTGTTCTGGATCCTCGTACGAGAGGAACGTCTCCCAACCTCCGTTTGCATAGTAATCCCGACGGATCAGCTCAACCTCGGGGGGGTAACGATGGACAAGGAATGATATGAGAAACTCTCATGGTACCAAATAAGTGAGTTGAAGAGGTAGAGAACTAAATGGTGCTAAAGTTTACAGTAGCATCACGTACATAAAGGTTCTCCCTTGTGGAGTGAGAACTTCCACGAACTGGTCAAGATGATGTTCTAAACAGTACGCTCTATCTTCAGGAGTAATAATCTGAACACAAAGTTTTTTCTTTCTTATAAGTCGCTGTAGCGCTCAACATTTCTGCATTGGTAATCCACTTACCTTACAAGCTTACTACAGTCTTGTAGGTATTTAAGCATTTATGGAGCGGTGCCTTATTTGACACGTGGCCAAGGAGAAAGTAGCTTGTTTCAAGTGTTGCAAAACATGTTTTCCTAAAAAGAACTGGTAGCCTGCATTTGTACACATCAACCCAAGGTTGTGGTAGCATGATGTATTTCGTCTTTTCCGAGTGAACATGGTTAAGACATGGATCTCAACTGCAAAGTAGAGAACACCAGCCAAAATGCAACTAAAGTCAATCCTGTCCCAGGCACAGAGAGCAGTTTCCTTTACCTCGTATGGCCTGACTTTATGACGGATCTCTTGGATTCCAACCTCTCTGGTTCTTACATCCCGACACTGCGTTCCCAGGTCCTTCATGCGAGCCAGAGCAAGCTCACGGAGATTGCCGTGCTCGACGCCGGAACTGACCAAGGGCATCGGGATGTCTCTGAAAATGAGAGCAAAACTATTTACCAGACTGTTTAAAGTTTTTGCAGGTTTTAACATTCATATAACTGTCCAGTTGAACAAATAAGCTCTTAGAAGTTGTCACGGCAGTCAGATGACCAAGGTTTCAAGATGAATTCAAGAAAATGAAGTCCAACCTTCTGTCAGTTTGATTATTAACACTTGAAATTGATTAAGATTAATGTTAATGGTCGTGGTTAGTCATGCAGTAATTTTGTGGTCATTTTGATCAGATCTAATGGTTTCAGCCAGACAAACACTGGTGATTTACGCTTGGAGTAACAAGAAAGTTGATTCTTTCATACACTGAGCTGTCCTTCTGAATCCTGTAGAGTGGCATTTCTTCCTGTGAAGGCTCAAAACTTTTGAGCTAATTCAACTTAGCAGGTGTCCAACAGAAACCAATGGTAACCAATTCTACCTAAGTCAAGGACAACTTAGTTGGTGAATTAGGTCTAGAATCTGAACCTCTGCAATGACGTGACTAACCTCTGCACTCGGTACACCCTGGTCCAGGGTGGCACCAGGGCAAGTATCCTAGCAACCAGGTCAATAAGCATGTCTGGTGAGTAGCTCTTGTAGCGTCCTGTCTTCCACAGCTCGTATAACCCAGTGCCTCTGATCACAAGGGTCGGGTAGAGCTTTAGTCCGTCGGATCTGAATGCCGGGTTTTCAAAATATTCCTAATAAAGAAAGAATACAGCTACATTACAGCAGGATTCCTTTTTTACAATCTCAGACACAAGCAGCCACAATATCACAAAGGCCTTGCTCCTACTAGAAAATAATTTCAGACTTTGATATCTTTCTGTGCAATGGAAGGAAAACCAATTTTCCTCAGAATGTGTACAAACTGTATCAATGCAAGAGAAGAGTAAACCTGAGCACAGATGCACAGGAGTACTTTATGACAGACTCTCCCCGCAATCAAGGAGCTCTTTGTGGAGAATCATTTCTCTCAATACACCCTACAGCCCGACAAGTTTACATCTCCCCGGCGTAAATTCATCTTTGAAATAGTTGTTTGTGGTACCTACTGCTACATCCGATTTGAACCAGCCAGCCGACACTGGCAAGCTCGGTGGTCGAGTGATTAAGACGTCTGCACTAGTAAGCAGGAGGTCGTGGGTTCAAGTCCTACCTGAGTACGCTTTGTGGGTTTTTTTCACAAGCCTTCGGGGGCATACACTGAGTATGCAGTGTTAAATACACGTCGAGCAGGGCAAAATCCAAAGATTAATAGCTTAAGGAAACTGTTCTTTAATACGGTATCCCACGTGTTAATTTTCGAGATGAACTTACAATGAATTGCTCAATGTCTCTCTCCATGTCTACATTGGGAAGATCTGGCATCATGTGGGTCACCACCTTGAAGCCAGCATCTTTACACCAGTTGAACGACTCGCAGACTGCTTGAACTGTGTGCCCACTGGACGAGATGAAGAAGAAAATATCATTTCCATCTCCCAATATACACAGCTTCAGTTTTGTGGACCTCTACTAAAGTAGTCTTTGAATAATTGTAATCATTCATGCATACCTAGAGCTCTAAATATTGTTTCCTTGCATACCTTTATGAGCATTTCCAAATGGCTTTTACTCACAGAATTGATATCTGCCATTGGTGGGATAGTGTTGCAGTATTTTTCCTGCGGACTTCATTTTATATTTAACACTGGACTTTTCTCTCACCGATTCGTATCCCTTGCTACATCTTCGTAGACACTCTGAACCCCGATCTCAAGACGGGTGCAGCCGTAATTCAGCATGTCACTGTGAAAAGATGAGAGTAACGAACAGAAACAAAAGTGGAATAAACGGAGTTGACGTTCATTTGACGCTCATTGCGATTAAAAGGAAACATGCATGTATCAACGGATATGGGCTTCTTTCTTTAGTAGAGACTACTTCTGGTCCGCGAAGTAGGTTTACAAGCTACCTACATGTACCTGACTTTCAGGATGATTTATGGTTCATGAGCAGGTGAAAAATATTACACTGCAATATCGGTAGGTAGCATGATTGGCACAGAATTGGGTTTAGCATCTTCATGTCGTTGCGATTTTCGGAATCTACTCATGTCACCAAATGCACTTATCTCCAGGCAAAGCAGTTGTCTACCTTTGTACTATTGATTCTGTTTGCTCTACCTGATGTGTCTTTGTAGACAGTAGTCTGGCCTCGTCTCTATGGTGATTCCAATACACTTCGTCAGGCTTCTCTCTGAGTACCTGAGAAAACATCAAGACCAAAATCAACCTGTTACTATCAGCATCATAAGATCTAATGTATTACATCATGCCGGCACCTGCATCACATACATGTAGTTAAATGTCACATGCACTTTAGATTTTACGTACCACAGAAGCTTGGATGTGAGTCTGTGTCACACCACGTGAACTCAAATGGAAAAAACCATTTGGGAAAACTTAAGAGAGTAAAAAGTTAAGCATTGACTCAGCCTTAAACATTTTCCAGCCATTTATTGTCCAAACTGGGTAAAACGCCAAGAACTCAGTTTGCACTTTAAAACATCTGAAAATAATTACGGCCTTATGGCTCATTTCGTGGGATCCTTTCGAATCTGAACCCACCCTGAGTTGAAGTGCACTCCCAAGCGGCAAAAAAAAAGACAAGTGGGAGTAAGTTTTCCAAGCAGGTTCTTGCTTGCATTCTGCGTGTACGCAAAGACCATACATTAAGGAATAAATTCGTTAAGCGTGCTCAGCGTGCTCCGCGTCAAATGTGTACCTATGCAGTGAATACTAAAGAAAACACGCCCTCCTTTGTTCCGCTTGGAGCAAATAAAAATCTTCAAATGTAAAAGTTCTGACTTACTTGACAGCTTCTGCGACACTTTCACTGGTGTGACCGGACAGCGCGTCATGAAGATTGCGAATGAAGTAGTCCCTGTAGTCTTCAGATAGCGACATGAACGTACCACCCATGACAATGAACTCCACTTTGTCCACGCTGTGACCCAGCTGCTTCAGCTGAAAACACAAAGGAAAGCAAAGTCAGCTTAATGTCTCTTTTCAGTCATTTTTTGTTTTTGGGAGGCATGCAAGTTCCAGGAAGATGAGACTACAGACTCTCAGTAATTAGGACAGATAGAGCATTGTGGATGTCTAACTCACCTGATCAACTCTGCGCCTTGTTTGTAAGTAGGGGTTGTACCTTGCTCTGATAGCACGCATGGAGGTTGGCTGAAATAAAAACAAAAGTGGCAACTTGTCCTATCAATTAATTAAATTTTTTTCATCAACAAGTTACAATTGTTGAAGTGCAAAGTTAGGGACATAGGCTGAATCTAAGCACACATTGATGTTAAATTGATGCCGAGTCTACACATGCATTGGACTTCAGTTCTACTGATGAGAGGACATTGACCAAATCTGTTGTGGATATCAGCAAGACTCTTTTTCTTAAATAACTTAAGTAGATTGGTTCACTAGAGCTGTGAACAAGAATTTTTTTTTCACTTTGATTGTGTGAATATCAAGTAGTTGACCAGGTAAATGACCTCATAGCTTGAGTATGATTATGTTGAATATTATAAATTCAAGCCTGATCCGCTTGGGCTGTAAATACAGGCGAGTACATTGAATGTCATGTAATATGTGGACATCCACTCATTATGTTGTGGAATAAGGACTTCAGCAAAGTTCGTGGTTACTGACCTCATAACCAGTTCATGATTTGGTTGAATATTCAAAATATGAGTGTCATCTACTAGGGCTGCAGACAAAGATCATTCACTGCATGTCATGTAAGGAGTGGATATCAACTTATGTTGTGGAATGCGGAGTTGTGGAAATCAGCAAAGTTCTTGGTTACTGACCTCATAACCAGTGTATGATTGTGTTGAATATTCAAAATCAGAGTCAGGTCCACCAGGGCAGTAGACGCAGATATTTCCTGTCATGTTGATGTGGGGACACCTGTGAGGTTTGCACATCACGGCAACAACAGCGATCTGGTAGAGAATAGAGTGGAAAGTTGGGAAAACTATCAAACCTGAAAGATGTTCCATGAATACATTATTAGCAGAGCAAGAAAGAGAGGCCATGGGTTCAAATCCCATCAGTGCACTGTGGACAGACTCATCAGCTTCTGTTCAGTTATTTTAGAATTGATCCACCCACTTTCCCTAGACTCTTTCACCATGAAAACCCCTGAGTTTGCTTTAATTCTCACGAAACATTCCAGGGTGGCTGTTTGGAATTCATTCAAAGCCATGTATGGAAGTCTCACTTCTATGGTAAGAGAAACGATTGTTTAACTACAACTAGCTATCCTAAGTAACTTCATAGAACTAGAATTATTTGACAAACTTACCCCACTGGCAGTACGAATTGGTTTTGCTCGCAGCTTCGGAAGAAGAACCTAGAAAGTAACAAGCCAATAGAATCACAAACAGCATTAATAATTAGTTCTGTATTCGCGTAGTTCTCCAAATATATCAAAAAGCCCTAGCCCCAGGATAAACAGTGCTCTAGCAGAAGGAAAGGATGTTTACCTTCTTGTATGTTGAGGGCACTGCAGCAATGATGTCTACAAGTCTTGGTTGGGAGGACAGCCCATACTTCTGGGATGTTACACTCTTAATCCTGGTCATCAAAAGCAAAAGTAAGATTTGAGGGATTGAACTTTGGGTTGTTGTGAACGGATGAGCTCTCCAAGTCTTCAGTTCTATCTTGTTTTTAGTACACACGATGATCCTTGAGTGGCTTCTGTACAAGCCTTGTGAAGCCTGAACTGTGGTTGACACATCAGTACATGATCGGTTCATGACATTTACCTGAAACAAAAATAGTACACCACAGCCCAACCACCCTTAAACAGCTCTGTGTCCTGAAAAGATCAACATGCAGGTAGCCAATGCAAAATGCCCGTTCAATTCATATCACTCTGAATCTGTTGAAACATGACATCTGTGAGCTGAAGCTAACTGTACTTGGTACCTGTTCAAGTTGACATCTTTGCCTTGTTCGTGGGCTGCAATGAGCTGACTGACAATATCGGAAACAGTCATCACCATCATCTCAGCATGTGTAGGTTGAGGTCCTAGTAGTACAAGCAAACAGTAAAGATGGCTTAGGCCTGCACAGGGCCAATTTCATAGAGCTGCTTAAGCACAAAATTTGCCTAAGCGGGAAAAAACTTTGCTTAAAAAACAAAGGTTACCAGCTCAAACTCTATCTGATTGTCATGCTTACCAAAAGACAGCTAAATACAACCCGAAACAATATACCTCACTTGGAATTTTGGCTGGTTAACTGATAAATCTAGCAAGGATTTTTCGCGCTTAACCAAATTTTGTGCTTAAGCAGCTCTATGAAATTGGCCCATGGATACAAGTATAGACTATGATGAGTTTGTTATTTTGTTATCTGTTGTCCTAGTGCCGGGCCCTTATATCTGAATTGGCAGAACATAGGTGTAGAACATAACAGTCAATAAACTGTCACACCTTGTAACTGGCTATGAAGTCAAAAGTCACACTTGACTGCCCACACAAAGGTTTATGATGTAGGTCCACTTGTCCTCAATTCTACCTTGTATCTGTGTAGCCACCATCCAAGTGTTTGGTCATGTTGGTTTGGAATTTTTTCAATGATGCACAGATTTATGTTTTTTTGTGGCTTCATTTTCCGACAAGGGGACTTCCACTTTGTCGTAGCTAGGCCGCTAACCGGGTGGTTGCTTTGGTGTTCTTTTGTTCTCAGAAAGATCCACATTCATTTTGGTATTGGTTTGGACTCGATTTTTCTTTTTTATCAGCAAAATGAATACCCCTAGAACTGTGTGGCTCATCATTTGCTGTGGTAGAGCAACGGCAGACAAGGGACCCCACAGTTTTGGGGTAGGCCTACGAAAAGAATGTTGCATCATCCCTCCATTTTTCCCCCGTTGTCATTGAAGAAATGCTGAAAAGACACAAATCTGGGCTGAGAAAAATTTTGAAATCTGTAAGGGAATAGGTCTAGGGCCCTTACTCAGAAAAATTTGACTTCCCACACTTTTTGTACATAACAAACCATGACAAGTACACTACAGTGGACAATTTGTGTGGCAAGGACATGCAAGATGCAACATTTTTTGCCTCTTGACCTTTGATTGCATTAATCCAAGCAACTGTACCCTCAGATCCATAGTCCTATAATTACTTGTGAGCAATATAAAAATCACTTAATTAGTACTGACAAATGGCATAATGACTGAAAGTAGTATCAACCATCTGGCCCTGTCCATCACGCTGAAGTAAAAATGGCCATGCCTGTCAACCTGTCTGAGCATGCTTCATGGGGAGCGCCGGAGCTAACCTATGCTCAGTCACACCATTCCTTGCTCTGGTATGGTCACACCGCTTGCGTTTGCATTATTAGTTTTTCCGTATAATCTTGTTAGGTGTTGATCATACATATGAAAATACAGTTACTGTCAGGCTTACCCTTCTTTTTGTTCTTCCCCATGGTGTTTTCTTTAAAATGTTTCAAACTTTTCGCGAAAAAGGAACGCAAATTTCTAGTACGTATTGCACCAGTGCTGGTAAAACTCACAACTGAAGTTTTACCGCCCTCTATTGTCGATATTTTGCAATGCCAATAAAATAGTGAGGGCGCCGCATATTCTGAAAAGAAGCATCCAAGAAGACAGTAATCATGTGTCTGGAGAACTTGTCGAATCATTGAAGAACACAGACTGGAGAACATGTTTCTTATCGGACAGAATCTGACAAAAGAGGCCAATTACATGAGCAAGGGTTGTTTTTTGTAAATCTTACGACTACACCCAACAAGACTTTCAAAATTCAAGAATTTTAAAGAAAAGTAAAATGGGGCCAGGGCTGCTGGCAGGCAGAAAAACCCCATTGAAGGATCAACGAGCGTAGAGGGTTTACCCCCCCCGTTTTCCTGGGGCCATCAAAAAGGAAACTAAAGGGGAAAACAATAACAGACGACTGCTTTAACTCCTTTCTAGGTCCAAACCTGAGTCCAAATCTCTCTTCTCCCAACCCTCAAAACTGCATCACATAGATCAAAAGCGAACAGTATTTCATTCCACGTTTAAAGATTTTTTTAAATTTAAGATCCAGTCGACTGAGGATAGTTTTAGGTTCGGTCTCATCACTTTAGTGTTGGACTTTAAATTTCCCCGGCCTTCCCGTTTTTTCTACACAGTAATGAGCAACGATGACCAATTTCCAACTCCGACGGCAAGAGGGTCTTGAACCCCGTGAAGGTTCATCCCAGACCCCTTCACATCCCACGGTGTAGGGACAGAGTTTCAAGTCCGTGCGTGTGTATTAATAACCGTTGGGGCCGTGCCGCAGCTCACAACCCTTCCAGGTGTATCCCCCGATAAAGCTGGGGATTACAGGTGGATTACAAGGCGAACAGGTGTAGCAGGGGGATCGCAGAAAACTCAAGGGTACTTGAGAGAATGGCGCCCCCTTGCCGCGCCCTGGGCAGTTGACTCGAGCGATCAGCTGCGCATTAACGAAAGCTGGATTGTTAGTACTGACGGCGAGTTGGCTGATGATCGTTTCATTAAATGCATGGCCTTGTCGTCATCTACCTACGATGTCAACAAATTGTTCCCAACCTGTGGCCTTTAGAAATACATGAATATGAATCTATCATGCTAGGTCACATGGATGAGCTTTTTCAATCTAGAATTGAACTTTTAAATTTTCTCACACGGTGAGTGTACGGCGAGTCGTGTTTTGCGTTTTTCCATATAAATCTAAAACTGTGTTTGAGAGTATTTTACGGAAATCTCTGAGAAAGCGGCATACACTGATTGAGCGTATAAAAGGCGCAATACGCAAGTTAAAATACAGAGTACTGAGAACGCAAACTTTTGATTTCCTTTTGGAGAGAATGAGTTGAGTATTGGAAGTGATCGAATCGAAATTTCCACTTAAATCGATTAAGATGGACGTGATGAAGTACCTCTGTGCGAAGCTCTTGAGAGCTAACAGATCCTATGTTCTTTTCATAAACAGCTAACGTTCGGTTGCGAGTGGCTGTAATGTTTCCTCTGGTGCCTTTGGAGGTATTTTTCCTGGCTCTGACTTTCCTCTTTCCCTTGCATAAATGAAGAACATTCCTTTTTCTTTTCTGATAGTAATTTTTTATTTATTCTCCTGTTATCCTACTTTTGATGTACACGAAATTGTATTATTTAAGATCCATCCGCAAGTCAACATTCTGAATGCAAAGCTGGTCTTTAAAGTACATTGAGCTTCTTTTGACAGAGTCTTTCAGCAGTTCTCGTTTTTTCACAGCGGTTGCTGAACACAGGATGTTTCTTCCGGCGCGGCCGCAAAGGAAGATGGCGACACAAAGTCAAGGGACTTAAAAGAGTAGTGAAACTTCCCGGACAGATCCCCAGGACAACCTTCTTGGGACAACTGTTTGGCTCTGGGGGAGGTAGACAATCCAGTTTGGCCAAAAATAGCTGCGCTTGCGATGGGTGATGAGAACTTTAAAATCTCTAAAGTTCATTTTGTGAAGTTTAATAAGCGTGACTGATCGAGTGCTCTCGAAGCAATGTCATGATACTTCCAACAGCCCCTCGTCCTTTGCAAGAGTAACTTTTGACTATTACTGCAGAAAGGAAACAGCAGCTTCTGAGGCTTTGGAAATTAAAACGCATGTCATGAAAGTCATGATGGGCATGCCTCATTCATGACAGTACGTTTCACGCTCTTAAACTTTTCTACAGAACTTGTATGAATGGAAAACTAATCCTGATTTCCTTTCTCGGCAAAAACTTGTAGAAATGCTTTGAAACACTCAAGATTAGACCGTCAGTCCATAAAATCTTTCTGAAGTCGTTGAGTGTCTTGTAATTCTCTTCAAGTGTTCCACTCGACACCCGTAGGCACGATTCAACGCAGTGCTCGAGAATATCGCTTCTCCGATGTTACAAAGCTAATAGCCAGACTTAAGGATCACCCACATCGAGTAAAAAGAACCTAGTCTCTTGAGTAAACATCTCACGTCCATGAAGTATATCTCTTTGCCTGTTAAGGACAAGCGAAGCATTCAAGCTTGTTAGGTTTCAACCTGGTTTGGTTGACCATGAAGTAACTTTTGTGAGCGCTGGGTTTGCAAACTACAAAACGTCGTTTTGACAGGACACTATAGATACCGTGCGCGTGCGACAAAATGACGTCTCCTCAAGGGCGAATCCTGAACCAAGTTTCGGGGGCGGGGTTAAGGCTACATTTTGGGGATTTTTTACACGCTTTTGGAAGGAAGTGAAATGAAACAGATTACGAATTAACATCCTGGGGGTGGCCCCCCTGTTTCCCCTTCCTGGATCCTTTCCGAAGTTCTCGACTTTGAAAATATTGACAAACAATGGTCCACTAAATTACTACAGAGACACAGAATATCAAAATGCGCGTCTGAGACTGCCACAGGTTTTAGAATCAGTAAAATAAGACGGGGTTTATATTTATACGGAATGACGGTGACAGTACCTTCTGAACCTTCTCTCCAGTGGCAGGGGAGGCAGGGGTGGCAACTTGCCCCCTGACGGATTTTTTTATACAAATAATATTTCACAATAGTTGAGTAGGAAAGAAAGTGATCGATATGTACTTATGTATAAAATATTAGCACCAAAACACAACACCGCGAAATAAAACAAACCTATCGCGACCGTGAGTAGGGCTTTCGACACTTTTTCTCCCCCAACATCAGGTTGAATGAGCCTGAAACCACATTCGCTTTTGAATTTGCCCCCACCTCGAAACCAAAAGCTGGATACACCCCTGCTTCCCTCCCTCAAACCGGGGGGTGGGCAGAATCCGGTTGAGGTCTTAGAGGTGATTGAAGCACAAAATACTTTAAAATTTAGGCGCACTGCTCTCAAGAAAAATCTAGAGAAAATTCGTCCTTGGCGGTCTCTTTTGATGTGTTTCATACTTGGCTATATACTATTAGAAATAAAAACACCTTTTTTTCGGATTGCACTTAACCTTTGCGAGTTCACTCGGCATCTGTGTCATTAGACAGCCAAGTTCTGACGGGATGAAATCCGTAACCTTGTTTAAAAATATAAACTAACCTATTTCTGCCATGCCTGCTCTGATTTTTCCGTAAGTATCATGCTGCTGACTTGTGTACATACATTCATCATACGATTATTAATCTATTACATTTCCAGATTCAATTTAGCTGTTGTACACCCAACCCAACCCTACGGGAGTTCCTCTGTGACTACCACAGTGACCCACTCCACCTTTCCTGTTATAGGTATGCTCTCTCATAAACTCCCCAGCACTCTGACTCTAGACCCTTGTACCCATTTCAAAGACAGAACGGCGGGAACGCTATACGATACGTGTACGCTCTAGTGCATACAGGGAACACGACCAAATTTTCCTATCGAGTTTAAGATTCACAAAGAAACATGAAACACGTAAGTAATAATGGGGACTATAAGGTTCCAGGCAGATGATTAAAACTTAAGGAGATATGTAAAAAGAAAAAGGCTTTTTAAGAGACTATGAGCTGGAGATTGTGAGTGGTGGCAATGAAACAGTGTTCCGAGTTTCTGTGATTGAATTGGTGGTATAATAGTCATGAACACTCTTTTTTGAACAAAATTTCACTTGTGTATTCACTTGCTGTATAGTTGAAAAGGAGATTTGAATCGTGACTAAAAAGTGGCGACTAGGTTTAGGGGAACCTTGATGTATTATATTTGTCACTAAAGAAATTAGTGTTGACTAGTTGGAGGGAAGTCACGTGCCAGTTATGCAGTTCCCCTCCCCCTCCTATTAAGGGGGCCAAGTGGGACCTCTCAGCCGAAAGAATGGATCCCTTCGGGAGGAGTTGAGGAAGAAGGGGTGCTTGGGTGAGCAAATCAAACGTTTCCTGTGCCTTGTCTTGCGCGCGTGTTATAGCTCCATGCTGCAACCTACGTGCCCTGTCACATGACGATCTTCCGTCCTTGAGGTATAGCCTCGAGTCCAAGGTTGACCATCGTATCATCACCCTCTGGATTTATGAGGTTTAAAGATATGATCTGGCGTCATCTTTCTTGAAGTGAGAGGTTGAAAACAGGGCCTGACATCCATCGAGGTCCACTGGGCCTGTGGACTCTTCCAGTGAGGGAGAAACATGGTATAAGACCGGGGCTTAGTTCTGTCCCTATTAGGCCCACCATGGAGATTATGCTGCCTACCTGTTGAGCCCACCAATTTATCTGCGACGTGAAGCGTATCTGATATTGCATCGTCGAAAGAAACTTACCAGAGAGAACTTCGATTTTCAGACACGTCGACGTGAAAATAGGCCCGAAAATAGCTTGGTGACGCCCGTGAACCGGGTAAGTGTAAGGTTCCTGTCGGCCGACTAATGAATCCTTTCCCCGAAGCCATCAGCCCGGTGAAGGTGGAGAGACGTGGTGGCTCAGTCCACTCCCAGTAATTGGACTGAAATCTCTACCAGCCGTCCAGGAAGTCCTAGATTCTAGCATCTGTTCGGGGGCTTCCTGTTCCAACCGGGTTCTGGAATAACATTCTTATGCACGGAAAAAAA